ATCCGCATATTATAGAGGTGCTGTTGGAGCTCTTTTGGTGTATGATATCAGTAGACGCCAGACATTTGATAGCATTGGCAGATGGCTTAATGAACTCCACAGTAAGTCATTTGACAGTGTCCCTTGTTTTTTACTTAATAGCTTTCTCCCAATACATATTCTTCTGGTACTTCACAGTAAGTTCTTATCAACATAATGCAATATGTAGTTTGCCTTCTTGGTAACCTTAATTGGGAATCCCACATGCCAACAGATGATTTGTATGAACTATTAGCCTTTAAAATCTTAGATACATTGAGGAAATGGTGGTGATGCTTTATGCCTTAGGGCTTTGCATAGAGAAGGTGTGAGTATCCTTAAAAAAATTGGATGATGAATGTTTCATCCTCACCATGTATATCTGCTGGGAATGTCTTATTTTACACTCTCAAACTATATTTTAATGGTTCACTTTTACATTCTTTGCCAAATACTCTTTAGTGGACTATTTTGAATGAGGTAATGGCTATTAGTTGTAAATACAATATCCCTGTCAATTTGTTATTCCTGTACCCCTGTGGCTTCAAAAGATTCCTAGCATTTATCCTTAATTAATGTGATGGACTGAGGATTGATCAGGTGGATATACTGTTGAACAGCTCACTCCGACATGAATGTAGTTACAATACTTATTGGTAACAAGTCTGATCTCAAGGATGCCAGGGAGGTACCTACTTCTGAAGGCAAGGCGTTGGCAGAAGCACAGGGTTTGTTTTTTATGGAAACATCTGCTCTCGATTCATCCAACGTTGTCGCCGCCTTTCAGATGGTTGTGAAAGAGATCTACAACATACTAAGCCGCAAAGTTATGATATCTCAGGAGCTCAAGAAACAGGACCCTAGCTGGGTGGGGAATGGGAAGACGGTAGTTTTACAGGGAGATGGGAACCAAGAAGACGCAGCTGCTGAGCCTAAAAAAGGTGGGTGCTGCTCATCTTAGGGATACACAACACATGAGGGTCTGGACGGATCTTTTTGGCGGGTCCCAACTAGCCTCTTTTATTTTTCAATTCAAGTTCCTTGCCTTCCTTCTTCTCCCTGTGATCTAATTTCTTGAATTTGTTTAAATGTTCATTCAAGAAACATGTTTTCACTCAATCTGGTTGAAGAAAAGAGAATTGAGGTAGAAGATGTAAATGACCCGAAAGGTGGATTAGAAAGCTTATACAATGTTCAAATTCAGTAATTTATGCACTGTACTTCTCAGCCATTTTCATGTTTTTCATTTATTGGTTCCTTATTTTTAATGCAATATATGAACTCGTTCCTCTGCCTTCTAGGTTTGTTATCTTATTTTCCTTTTCTTGTGATTTATTGGAAAAACTTTCCAGTCAGTAGACTAGTGTGTAGAGGGGCTAAGTTTATGTGATTGACTCTCATATGCCTTGCTTACTCTGGTCAATTTCATGTATTGCATTGGTGAAGATGATGATGCATGTAGTTCTCTGGATAATTCCCTATAACTTATAAGAGCCACAATTGATCAACAAATGAAAATAAGAGCCGCTAGCAAAATTCAATGGTCTTTGGAGGACTCGGAAAAATCAGTCCCATCCCAACCCATTTTCCCAAACAGAAAATGAGAAAATTTGCCTCGTGGTTAATTAGATAGATAAAATAATTAGGATGACAAAAATGCCCCAAATTATGACGTGGCAATATTTTATTGCCTCCTACCCTACTACTACCTCCGAACGCCCACAACACCATTTTACTCTTTACTTGGAGAGAGCGCGAATTGAAGGATCAGGTTTGTGTCTTTTTGACTGCGAAATCAATTTGGGAATTAGGGCTCGGCCCAAAACAAATTTTGAAAATCATGGGGCGGCTGTTTATAGAGACGCTGAGTGGGCCAAGGATCTTCAAGTGCAGGTATTGCAAGGTGGACTCTGCGTCCCGCGACGACGTCGTTTCCAAGGAGTTTCAGGGCCGTTATGGCAGAGCCTATCTCTTCAGGAATGTGTAAGCCATCCAATTCAACCCTCATTTCCTGTACCACTTGGTGGTTCTCGCTTTGGTTCGAAATGGATTACATTGATAACATTGCTAATTTTTGTGGAAGCATAAATGTTATTTCATTATTTCAATATAATGGCCAAGTACAATCTTGTGCGTAAAAATGTTGACTTGATGTTGAGTCTTCCCGATGTGTTTATGCTATGATATGATTTGGGTTTGTTACTTGTTCTGATCGTTGAGCATTCTTTTTTCAGGGTAAATATATCTCTTGGGCCGATTGAAGAGAGGCAACTCATTAGCGGATTGCATACTGTGAACGACGTGTATTGTAGCTCTTGCCAGCAAATTATGGGCTGGAAATATGTAAGTTCTAAAGCCTGTTGTGATTTTTAATTTAGGTTCCATGTTTATGCATGATCCGCGATCCATTTTCGAAGACAACTTAATGGAAGGATTCACAAGCTTATCTACTTAAATCTAATGTAATATGAAAATGCTATTCTCTTCAGCACTCTCACATCAAGTGGGTCTCGCTAAATTAGCATCTTTGGCTGTCGTGATGATGCTACGCATGGACCTTGTTCATGCTCCGCTTCAATGCTTAAGCATGGATTTTAAACTGATCAGCAGCTGTTAAACTTGTAGGATCCTGCTATGAAGTAATCATTTTTAAAAAAACCTTGCAATAACAGTTTTTTTGATCAATTTAGTGGTGGCTGCTTCTCCTTGTGTTGTGTGATTACTATTTTCATTAATGGGGTGCGGTCTAGATTTTAGACTAGTGGTGGACTCAAGGGGGATGGTCTATTTTTATGATGTGCTTAATTAGACTAGCCCCATCTTTAGATTTCAGTTTATTTTCCGGTACTCTCTGATCATGTGGTCCAATTTTATGTTTGGAAATCTCTTAGCCACTTATGAAGATTATAGTGTGCAAGTTCTGGTTTAAACTAACTGCTTTTGATTTTCATATTCCTAGGACAAGGCTTATGAGCCAAGCCAAAAGTATAAAGAAGGAATGTACATCTTAGAGAGGGAACGGATGCTGAAGGAGGGTTGGTGATGCTTGGACAGGAAACATTTGCGAGAATAGACCAAAAGCCATCTCTTTGCAATACTATACACTTTCTGTAAGTAAACAGTGTTCATCCAGATTGCAGCTGGTGCAACTTTAGGATAAGACCTTTTTAATTCTGAGCACCAAACGGCAATAATAGTGTTCTGTTTATTGGATTTCTTGCTGTCTTTGAAATAGCTTCAGTAAATGATTATGGAATTGTGTCATGGTTTGGCAAATGTTGTGGTTTCATGTTAATGTTTTATGTGTGGAATTGTGTCATGGTTTGGCACATGTTGTGGTTTCATGTTAATGCTTTATGTAAAAGACACAGTAAGCGGCCGTCATGAAATGATTATGGAATTGTGTCATGGTTTGGCACATGTTGTGGTTTCATGTTAATGCTTTCTGTAAAAGACACAGTAAGCGGCCGATAATCTTGAGATGAAATAAAGTTGAAGGCTAAAATTCTTATTGATTTTGTTGTGTCACCATCTGAAATAAATGGTTATGTTGTATCAGTAACTGCATTTTTGGTGGTGTTTTCCTGAGCTAAGCTTTTTGAAGGTGATTTGAAAGCTCGAAGAGGCGATGGCTTGAAATGGCGTTATATGTGGCCTGTAACCAAGCAGAAACCAAGCAGTTTTAGCATTTGATGTCTGCAAACGAATGTCCTAGTTCTAATCTAATAGAGAGTGAAAATGATATGTCTTCTTCACACGGTAATTTGTTGTTGTTCTTTGTTGGAGGAAAAAACCCACCGTTGGTGAAAGTAATTTAAAACCTCGAATCGAACAGAATCAAATTGCTGGACAATTGTCAAATGCGGACCATGAGCATCTTGATGTAACCCCACGAATCTCTATTGAGATCATTCATTTGATTGCAAGCAGCCTACTTAGGAGAAATTTTTCAGTGACTGATTGAAGAGAAAGCTTGTCTAAATTAAATGCCCTGCGATTTGAATTAACAACCAATAAAATGTGACAAATTTGCAACTGGGGTCCACCGTCCACAGCCTTGACAATAAAATGTGGCAAAATTGTTTGTTTTTCTCAAAATAAAATCAAAATAAGCAAAACCCTTTAAACCCTTGTCTCTCTCCCTGGCCTTCTCTCTCGACCAAAGTAGATGTTAGCTATTTCAAGAATGAAGGCCCTCATCTCCGCCACAACGTTCTCAACCTACTCCGTTCCTCACATCTCCAAGACCACACCTTTGGCCCTCTCATCTTTAGCCTCTAAGTCCTTTTCATTCAACCCACCAACCCTTTTCCAGAACCCCAATCTTCTCCTCCCAAATCCCAATCTTTTTGTGCCGAAAACCTGCATTTCTTCAGTTCAGAACCGATGTATGCAAATGGAGACGGCTTCTCGCCAACGGTCCGGTGAGATTCACGTGATCGTCGGCCCAATGTTCGCCGGCAAGACCACGACGCTTCTTCGTAAAGTTCAATCCGAGAGAGGCGATGGCAGGTTTGACTCTCCACTGATTTTGTTTTTTTTTTTTGGGTTTTGAAGTCTGAATTTTATGTGATTTTCCATTTTTTGGTGGATCATGGATGTTACTGTTTTGTGCCGAAGATGAATCACTAATTGACTATTGAAGTGGCTATTGAGATTTTGAATGTTGGGATATTTGTAGTACATGAAATTTGAAGTTCTTCAGTTTTATACTTCATGCGAGTTGTTTCTTTAATGCCAAGCCGACTCTTTGGGTTTAATATGAAATTGGGCTTACTTTCTTTGTTGAATTTTAAAAGGTTTGCATGCGTATGTACAGTTATAGTTACATATTACATACTAGCGTGGAACTTGTTATTTACACTGACTGATGAGTGATGGTGCTTATGTTACATAGGGTCTGAATGTCCACATGTAGATTGATTGATTGATTTATGTAGGACTAGTGATGTTAATTGTTGCCTTTTCTGAGACTGAGAATTAAGCAGCTAATTTGGAGCATGTATGCCAAGTATATGGAAATTCTTTTCCATTGACATGTGATTCGGGTGAACTTTCAGTTTCTGTGTCATCATTGTTCAATAGTTGACTTTTACCAATTTATTGGATCCATTGATTGAGTACATAAATCACCAGTAAGAAATTCCAGCTTTCAGGTCAAGCCCCAAAAGCACATCCCAGTGGATAAAACACTGAAGGGACTCTGCTATTCAGGAAGATTGGCCGAAGCCATTGGGCTATTGTGCCATACAGGGTTAGAGGTAGACCCAGACACCTATGCTCTTCTATTGCAAGAATGTATATTTAGGAAAGAGTATAAGAAGGGGAAAATAATTCATGCACAAATGATCGTTGTGGGGTTTGTTCTCAATGAATATTTGAAGACCAAGTTGTTGATCTTGTATGCAAAATCAGGAAATTTAGGAACTGCCCACATTTTGCTTGATAAGTTGCTTGAGAAAAGCTTGGTTTCATGGAATGCAATAATTGCAGGGTATGTGCAAAAGGGACTGGAAGATGTGGGATTGAGTCTTTATTACAAGATGAGACATGGTGGTTTGATCCCAGACCAATATACCTTTGCATCAGTGTTCAGGGCGTGTGCCTCTTTAGCAACACTGGAGCATGGGAAGCAAGCCCATGGTGTCATGATAAAGTGCCAAATTGGAGAAAATGTTGTAGTCAATAGTGCCCTCATGGATATGTACTTCAAATGTAGTGATTTATGTGATGGGCAAAGGGTATTTGATACATGTCAAAATAGGAATGCCATTACCTGGACTGCTTTGATATCTGGTTATGGTCAGCATGGAAGAGTTGTAGAGGTCTTAGATTTTTTTCATAGCATGAAGAGTGAAGGTTTCAGACCAAATTATGTTACTTTTATCTCAGTTCTTTCTGCTTGTAGTCATGGAGGTTTAGTTGATGAGGCTTGGGAATATTTTTCTTCAATGACAAGAGATTATGGAATTCACCCAAGAGCACAGCATTATGCTGCCTTGGTTGACCTTTTAGGACGTGCTGGGCAGTTAGAAGAGGCCTATGAGTTTGTTTCGAACTCACCTTGTAAGGAGCACTCAGTGATGTGGGGTGCTTTTCTTTGGGCTTGTAGAATTCATGGAGACAGAGACTTGTTAAAGCTTGCAGCAAAGAAATACTTCGAATTGGAACCAGAAAATGCTGGAAAGTATGTAGTCTTGTCTAATGCTTATGCCACTTTTGGGTTGTGGGACAATGTTGCTAAGCTTAGGTCTATGATGACGGATTCAGGGATGAGAAAGGAGCCTGCTTATAGCAAAGTAGAGGTTCAAAAAGAGGTCCACTTCTTTCTTAAGGGTGATACATATCACAAACAATCCAAGGAGATTTATGAGATGGTTAAATTGGTTGATTGCTCTCTAAAGGATTCAGGTTATGTTCCTCATTTAAGTGGAAGCTCATTTATGTAATGGAAAAGTGCTTATTTCCTAGGAATGTCTCTCTTTTGCCTGTCTTGTAAAGAACTCGATACATAAGTGCTTCATGCTTGAGATGTCTACTTTGGTCTTGTCTGAAAAACCAATTAAACATGCAGTGATATACTCACAGAAAGTTAACTAATCAGTGTCATAAGCGTGATAGAAATTGCAGTCTTTAGGAAGTTGAAAAGCATGTAAGAGAGAAAATTGTTTATATTCAGTTCATGAGCCCTATGCATGCCAGAAGCTTGCAAGTGTTTTTTCCTTTAGGTTCTTAGTGAGAAGAAGAAAGCCACACAAATGTAGATGATACTTCATAGAATGTATCAGCCAAGTGCTTAGTAAATACTTTTCCAAAGCTTCAGCTTGATAACTAGAAGTTGAGAGTTGATGTTTATATACAGTGGTAATACCCCTAGTACTGGACATTAATAACTATCTCTAGGATTGATCTTTGCAATGTTGGAGGACTCTCATGATTGTTGGTATGCAGCGCACATCCAAGAGGAGAGTCCATGGGCCAAGTTTTTTCATTGTCAACTTCCCCATAAGTCATTAATCACAAGATGTAAGCAAAAGAGGTAAAGATATTCACCCTTTCTAAGTTTTTAGTGCTACCTCTGAATGATGCTTAAATAATGTACGTTGAACCTTGTATCCATATACTTCCAAGTTACTGTTAATATTTTTTCGAGATGTAAAGGTTTCTGGTTTGTTTGTAGGCAGAGGGCTAATCTTTTTGAGCTCTTGTTTGAAAATTATTACATATCTTACTGGATTCATGCTTATCATTCATTAATTCCTTTGAATAACTCTTTGGCAGAAATGTTGCTATAATTAAATCAAGCAAGGATACAAGATATGGATTGGATTCAATTGTGACGCATGATGGGGTCAAGATGCCGTGTTGGGCGTTAACACATCTATCAGCATTCAAACAAAAGTTGAGCCCTGATGCATATGATCAGGTATCGTAGTGCCGGTATTTGATTAGATAGCAATTCTTATTTGAAATTATTATAGTTTCACTGTTATCTGGGTGACAAATTGCATATTTTGTCCATGTACAATTTATGTTACTCATAATTACTATGCGGTGACAGCTAGATGTAATTGGTATTGATGAAGCCCAATTCTTTGACGACCTGTATGATTTCTGTTCTGAAGCCGCTGATCATGATGGTAAAAAAGTAATAGTCGCTGGACTAGATGGTGACTATTTAAGGTATTATTTCAATTCTCCACGAGTTGAGGTTCTCAAGCTCATTCTTTGACTTTGCAATGGGCAGTTCTTGCCTGTTCTTCGGAAATATTATTCCCTTTTGATTTTATGGTCAATTCAAAAATTGATGGCAGGAGGAGCTTTGGTTCTGTGCTAGATATAATTCCTCTTGCTGATTCTGTAACCAAGTTAACATCTCGATGTGAACTTTGTGGGAACCGGGCTTTCTTTACATTAAGAAAGACGGAGGAGATGCAGACTGAGCTGATTGGCGGGGCTGAAGTCTACATGCCTGTCTGCCGGCAGCACTATGTTGGTGGACAAGTAGCCATAGAAGCCGCGAGAGTTGTCCTGGAATCTCAAGTTCAGTGCGGTTCATATGCGTAGTAACTTTTGCCAGTTAGTAGGATATATCTCTATTCTGCAACCTCCTTACATGTCTTATTGGAAAGTTTACACTTTGCTGGATGACCCTTTAGACAACATGTTGATAGGGAATATTACACGGTCTCGATCAAGAATGTAGTATATATTCTTTTCACCAACCAAAGAATGTGCGAAAAAAATGAAGATATCTTCTGTTTCTCCTGTTAATTCGTTTAAACATGATTGCTGGCAATTCATGCTTCAATTATTTTATTTTATTTTTTCCAATACAGAAAATGCCATCACAGATAAATTTATACCGGTTGAGATAGTTTTTTCGTTTGACACCACCATAAAATTTTGAGGCATTCGAAAATGAATAAGCCCTAGAGTTGGAAACCTTTCAATCTCTAAATGGTAAATACATAATGACAGACGCTCCTGAAACCAGTGGAATGCGTGTGTACTTCTTAATATAGGGAGTTTTACTAAAATACTCAAAATGGGGGTTGAAATTATAAAAAAATTCAAACACTATTTAAACATATAAACACACTCAAAACTCATCATTACACACACTCAAAACCCATTTATAAACACACCCAAAAAGTTGACTTTGGGGTTGATTTTGGATGTGTTTCTATGTTTAAATAGTGCTTGGGTTTTTTTATAAATACATGTCTAGGATTGAGTTTATTTATAAATTTGTATTAAATATATTCGAATATTTAAACAGTATAACCGTGCAACTATATTATTTAAATATATGAATTATGTTTTATATAACAAGTATAGCGCGGCTATATTTCTAGGTATATTCGAATATTTAAATACTATAGCATAATAATAGAGAACCAGAAATTTTGGACTCTTTGCAGTAAAGTTTGGCCCGAATGTGCTGAATATGTATTGGTGGCCGAAAGTAGTTCAAGCCTAGAGCTAAGCCAGCCCAAAATTGTCCACAAGACCTCGTTACAGCAGTTGAGTTGGTAACCGAGGCCCGAAGGGGAGCCTAAGAAACTAGAGCACATGTTTTCTCTCATGACTCGATGGCTTTCGAAGACCTTCCATTTCCCTTCCATGTGCTTGCACCGGTATGTATTACTCTCAGAGTTTGATCTTTCTTTTCTCATTTTTCTATTCAATGCCTTTGACGGTTTTATGGATTTTATCTTTCTTCTTCCTTAGTTCTTCAAGCTTCAGAAATTTTCGGCCGAAATGGTTCTCAGGTGTCCCGAATCTCTGTAAAAGGGCTCATGGCCAGTTTGCTTATCAGGTTTTTCGAATATCTGGTTTTCTTGTTTGTTTCTTAAAACTCTGAGCTACCCATTTAGAGTAATGTTTAGAAGACTACATATTTCAACCCCTCTGACAATAAGGTTACAGTCTTTGTTAAAAACCCACTGTTTTGCAATTTTCTCAGCTGGGTATGTTACGGATACCAGTGATAGGGTCTTAAATACTAATGGGTCAGAGTCAGAGAATGAATGGGAGAAGTTGCTTAAGCCGTTTGACCTCAATGAACTTAGGAAGTCACTCGTTCAAATCACTCCAATTCAGCTTTGTAAGTTACTTGAACTTCCACTCGATGTGCCCACTTCGATGGAGATATTCGAGTTGGTAGGTGCCCAGAAGGGCTATTGGCATTCTTTTGATGTGTACTATGTGTTAATTGATAAGCTTGGGGCGGCCGGGGAGTTTAAGGTTATAGATAGGTTGTTGATGCAGATTATGGAGGAAGGGATTGTGTTTAGGGAGTCCCTTTTCATTATGATTATGAAGCATTATGGGAGAGCAGGTCTGCCCGGACAAGCAACTAGGCTGCTTTTGGATATGAGAGGTGTTTATTCTTGTGAACCAACTTTCCGATCTTATAATGTTGTATTGGATATACTCGTGGCTGGGAATTGCCCAAAGGTTGCTCCCAATGTCTTCTATGACATGTTGAGTAGGGGTATCTCTCCCAATGTCTACACATTTGGGGTGGTTCTGAAAGCACTTTGTATGGTTAATGAGGTGGATACTGCTTGCTCGCTTCTGAGAGACATGACAAAGCATGGGTGTGTGCCAAATTCAGTGGTTTACCAGACTCTTATACATGCACTCTCCAAGAATAATCAAGTGAATGAAGCATTGAGACTTTTGGAGGAAATGTTTTTGATGGGTTGCACACCTGATGTTCAGACTTTCAATGATATTATCCATGCTTTCTGCAAGGTCAATCGGACTCATGAGGCAGCAAGGTTAGTTGATCGGATGCTTCTTCGGGGGTTTACTCCTGATTATGTAACTTATGGTGTTTTAATGCATGGATTATGCAGGACAGGGCAAGTTGAGGAAGCAAGGGCATTGTTGAACAAAGTGCCTAGCCCAAATATTGTGCTTTTTAATACCTTGATAAATGGGTATGTTATGAGTGGACGGTTTGATGAAGCCAAAGTTGTTCTATATGATGGTATGCTAGGTAGTGGCTGTGAACCTGATGTATATGCATTTAACATATTGATTCATGGACTCTGCAAGAAGGGCCGTTTGGGTTCTGCTCGTGAATTGGTCAATGAGATGGAAATTAAGGGTTGCAAGCCCAATGTGATAACTTACACCATATTGATTGATGGGTTCTGCAAGGAGGGCCAACTGGAGGAAACTGGTGATGTTTTAAATGAGATGTCATACAAGGGATTAAGTCTGAATATTGTGGGATACAATCGTTTAATATCTGCTCTATGCAAGGATGGGAAAGTTCATGAAGCTTTAAAACTGTTTAGTGAAATCTCAAGCAATGAATGTAAGCCAGACATATTTACATTTAATTCTCTAATATATGGACTGTGCAAGGTTGATAAGATGGAAGAGGCCTTAGGGTTGTACCGTGATATGGTACTGGAGGGTGTTATTGCCAACACTGTTACTTACAACACATTAATTAATGCTTTCTTGACTAGAGGTGCGATCCAAGAAGCACTTAAGCTTGTAAATGAAATGTTATTTAGAGGATGCCCTCTTGACAAAATAACCTATAATGGGCTAATAAAGGCACTCTGCAAAGCTGGAGCTGTTGAAAAAGCAAGGGGATTGTTTGAAGAAATGATAATGAAGGGACTTCATCCCAATAGTATCTCATGCAATATTTTGATTAATGGTCTGTGTAGAAGTGGCAAAGTATATGATGCACTTGAGTTTTTAAGAGACATGATTCATCGGGGTTTGATGCCAGACATAGTCACTTATAATAGCCTGATAAATGGTCTGTGCAAGTTGGGACGCATTTCGGAAGCTTTGAATCTCTTTGATAGGTTACAAGTTGAAGGGATGTGTCCTGATGTTATTACTTATAACACTTTGATCAGTTGGTATTGCAAAGAGGGCATGATTTATGACGCTTGTTTACTTTTAAATAGAGGTGTGAATAACGGGCTCGTTCCAAATCATTTGACTTGGTATATACTGGTCAGCAACTTATCTAAAGAAAGAGATGAGGGGAATCAGCGCTATATTGTTTAGGGATTGGGAGGAAGCTTGATTTTAGTTTCCTCTAGTGCAAATCATTGCAAATACTAGAATCCCTGTGGTATTGTTTGGATGTCTGCCCTCTGGCAATTTGAGGTGGATATGGAAGTACTTTATTATGATTTTCTGCCCAGAAATGATACTCCAGATTTTGATTTGAGCTCTTTTGAGTCATATTTGGGTTGGCGCTTAGGGAACAAACTGGCTGGCTGTCTCATCTCGTCAAGAGTTTTTTGCTGGTTGAAGCAGAACAATTCACATTATGATGTGAGAGGTAAATGCAATCCTGGCCGACCTAACATGATATACAATATACCTGCATTAACTATTTACTTAGTTTACTTTTGTGTTGATTGAGCTTAAGGTTCATTCTTCATGTAGAAATTTTCTAGTAGCTATTGCAAATTCGTATTTCATCCATACTCTGACATAAGTGAATCTGTATCATTCGGAAGTGGTAGCTTGCATGCGTACTGTTAGGAAGTTTCTAGAGTTACGTATTGTAAAGAGGCCTTGTGGTGATTTTGGTGAAAGAGATCATATGCATGCTTCTATATTTATATTCTGCTAGGCTGTACACACACACACACGCACACACGTATATAGACATCATTTTTTATAAAATGTCTGAAAATAATTAGCGTTTTCCTTCCAAGTTCTGAATGCAAATGTGTAAGTAGGAACTTTTAGTAATAAATAGTATAATAATGTTTGTTGGGACCCCTCAATTCACAAATCTACAATCGTTGCTGTACAGTTTCTGTATAATCCCATGATAGTTGGTACGTACTAATTATTTATTTCTTCAATGATAGATCACATGGTATGTGTCTTTCCACTAGGCTTTGATTTTTATCATGTTACATTATCAGCTTAAGGAGCTCATTATAATCCCAGGTTTATGCTTGCAAGCACTCGGCAGGCAAAGTTGAGTGGAGGAGGTGGAAAATAGTAATTCATCAAAGGATCAAGTGATCAACTTGTCTAAAGGACGAACAGTATTCGTAATTCTTAAGGTTGTTCTCCATACTCCTCAGACGTTTTTTGGCTTTCAGTCCACATGATCACTATATTTATGCCATATCTTTCATGGTGAATCCTCATTTGTAGTCGATACGAGTAGATATTTATGATCTTGGCTGGGCAAGTGCTGGTTCCTGATACTTTTATTTGTATTTGTATTTGTTTTGTAACAGGGAGCTTTTAAAGTGTCATATAGAAGAGGTTATGGCCATGATCTGATAAACCCAATGCAGCACGTTTTGGATAATCATTTACCTTGGTGGGACTTGGAATTGTGCAAATTCCAGTCAGAGCAGACCCATGACAACATGTGATTTTCATTTTAAAATCATGATGCTGTTCTTTTCTTGTGATTGTTCTACCCTGGGTAGATACAACATTGGTTATTATAAATGCGAGACAAGCAGCATTTTTGTACTTCTTTGTTTCTGCTCGAACAAATTTGACAACATATGTTATCGTCATTGCTGCCCTGATTTTTCATGTTCATATTTATGTTCTGTTCAAACTGGGTTCACTTCGGTAATTTTAAGATAGCATCCGTCCAGCATGTCTAAAGATCTTTAAGGTGATCTCATATTTCTTTTGCTAACGATATTGACGACTAGCTAATCCCAATTAGCACCAAAATCTTTTTAGGATCTGATTATACACTTGGATTTCATATATGATTTTCCGACCAAAATGAATTCAGGAATCGAACAGCTTTGCAAGAAATCAAAATAAACTTTTGGGAAATAATCGGATGATAAATAGCAAAGTTGATTAAAAAGTTTATATTTGGAAAACGCAAATTACAAAGCAGAAATTAAAAAGTAAGAAAAAAAATGAATGAAAGCAATAAAACGAAATATGACAATGCCTCAGAATTGCAGAAAGTCAGCACGGCTTATAAATAAGCCACTCAGTCCCGAAAGATGGTGTGTTTTATAACTGATTTCATCACCGGCAAAGACTTAAAAACTATTCCAACAAAACAATATCATAAAATTATGAAGAGAAAAAATGTCGGTCTCATGGCCAATCCCAAATGGTAAAGGCAGTAAACACCGCTCCACAAGGCGATAGGATATGACACCACTCGTCGACGGAGGAGCTCCATCCCAGGAGGGAGGGAGGACCATCAACGTCGACGAGAATTTGTATGCGACGTTTACTTGGGAATGTACAGACACCAATAGCCTGCTCCTTCAAGTTGGAGACTGATCAATGTCCCCCGTCACAAATTTCACAATTTTATCAAACAAATAGAAAAGCTTTTTGCAAAATCTTGACGACCCAATGGTCCCCATATTTGGAAAACAAAAAATCTTATAGCTAAACTCGATGAACAATCAACCTGACTAAAAAGGATGAAGCCTTGATGATCGATCAAACAATATCTGATATAAAACTAAAAACCATAAAGAGACTGACTAAACTAAAACCCTAGCACCGATATGCTGCAAATCTGATTTCGGGTACAAGTGGAAGAGGATATTTATAATGTGAGTGAGTTAGGTCACGACCGTCCGATGCGTATCGTGTGACTGGGAATGAGTCATAGTTAAACACGGTCGCCGACAATGAAATTAGGGTTTTACTGACCTTTTTTCCTTTTGGGCCGTACGGTTTGGTTTTGGGACTCAGGCCCAGAAAATAAACAGCATTGAGATTGGGCCAGATGAATATACGAAGCCTGCATATGTTTAATGAACTCAGCATAAATCCAAATGGTAATTTTTTTGACACGAGCTATATTTGGACCGGGGGATTCAAGAACATAATTTTTTTTTTTTTTTGAGATAACTACTCTTAACCACTTGAACTACAATTTTTGCATTCGAATGATATTTTTCATTATTACAGTTTGGTCTTGTAGTTGATCCGCACATCCATACACTAGATACAAAATTAATCCAAATTTCCAACAGAATCCAGATATGCTATAATTTATGTTTCTCTTATTGATTTTCAACAGGTGTGAAATAATTTACTGTGATTACAGAAACAGCCATAGCGCATTTGAATCACACCAGACGTATACATTACAATACCAGAAGAAACAAACTTACATTTTTCCTACAAATTATACTAAAGCACTCATCAACTACTCTTCTAGTTGGATGAGTTGAAACATTAAGGGTGGGTGGCTCTAACCTTTTGACTCCTGAGGCTTTTAAAAGACAACAAACAAAATTGCACAACATCAACAACAACAACATAACACTAACACTAACAGTTTCTTTGAAATTGAGCTCCTCCTGATGAGATCAATCAATCAATCATAGTTAGTCTAGGGGGACGCCGCTGTCAATGAAACTCAGCACTTTCCTTCCAAATCCACTCATGAGTTCATTCCGATTTTGTTTGAGCTTTGCTAAAAGCATTTTATAAAGGGGACTATTTGCACGCTTTGTGGCCTTCAATGCTGTTTGGATCACGTAGTTTCCAAATTGATCCCGCGCAATTTGCGACAGTTTTTCATACTTGAGAAAAGCATTTACTACATAATCCGTCTCAGAAGAGTTCAAGCATTTCTCTATAACATGACTCCCACCTCTTTGTGAAGAGAGCTTTACGTACAGATCCCTCAGCTCAAAGCATATCTTTGCAGAGAAGACAGGGTTATGGAGTCCCAGGACGTGCTGGACAACAAAGTTCCTGAATGACAAAGATATAATGTATTAACTAAAACAAATCAATATGATGCAAAAACCACAATTGAAACGAGAAAAGACCAAGATGGGAGAGGGATTTGTACCCTGAAGGATCCTGAGAAAGGAGTTTTGATTTGCTTGAGATTTCATTCATGAGTCTCTCTCTGTATGGAGTTTTACTGTAGGTGATGAACTCATTCAAGTATATGCATCCCTTTTCATTCTGGGCCAGAGTGATGCAAAGCCTTTCAGCAGTTTCGTATATTTTCTGCAATCAAATCACACAACCAACCTTGTCATAAAAGCAGGCTTAAAAAAGAACCACGTCAAAGGCAATGATATGTATCAACAGCAGAAACATAAAAAGTACCTCATTTTTCTGTGTGTCAAGGAGGTTTAAGCACTTCAATATAACAAACGACCCTGTTCGGTTGGTCATCAGTGGCCCCAATACACTGGATAGAGCTAATGTCAAGGTGTAAATCAAGGGTGATTTCTCAAGCACCTTGACAAGCCTCTGAATTGATTTTGATCTGCACAAACAAGTTAAAGACACGAGTCCATCACAGCTATAACCATAAAATACAGACATATATAAATATATTTCTTGAGTATTGACTGATGAAGAATAAATGATGGGGTGGGGTTAAGGATTAGATAGGTACCCAAATTTGCTGGTTGATATGCTGACAAGTGATTCAGTATTCAAAGTCATCAGTGCTACAATGTGTCTTAACTGATCGTAATTGCATGATTCAATAAGCTTCCCAAAAACATAGTATCCATGTGAGTCATTCATCACCTCGAATATGGAACCGAAAACCCCAGTAAAAATCATATCCTTAGCGAATGGGTCCTTAGAAGCCACCATGATATTTATTAAGCTCTGTGATCCGGTTTGCGTCATAGCGAGTCGAGCTATATCGGCATAAGATCGCAGCTTAAATATCTGATCACCATGGCATCCATCATTGTTAAAGCTTGACTGAGTCCCCATATAACTAGATATTCCAGAACTTGGGTACCGATCACCATTTGAATACATTCCAATCCTTTCATTGCTTCTGTAATATTGTTCTCCTGAACTTTGGTACCAGTTATTAACACAAGGGTTGAGCTGGTTTGCCCAGCTGCAGAAAGATGGAGATGTTTCTCCACGACTTAATCTTGATTTTGTAGTTTCTTCTGTCAGGTTACCAAGAGGGTTCTTTGGTTGATAAGCATTGGCATGCCCATTCAGGTTGTTTGAACCCAGAAAGTGTCCTACAAAATCAAGAATTTAAATTACAAGAAACTCAAAACATATACGAAATTATACCAGAATTTGCAGAGGAGAATTTGAGGGTTTACCTCCACCGTTCAAAATATGATCTCTCCAGATACTTTGTGGATACAATGGCACTGGAACTCTAGGCGAATTTTCAAATCCGCTTTCGTATTTTGGATAAACATCAGGCTGTGCTTGTTGGGTTTTGCTTGGAGAGGCATTAGAAGACGAACCCAAACAAGTAATGTTACTATTATGCACAGAGAAACCAGGTTTCTCATTCTCAAACTTTTCCGTCTTTACCCGAACCTTGCCCAAAGAAAGGCAAAGGCTTTTTTTTACTTCTTCTTCAACAGAAGAACCAGCGTAACATGAAGTCTCCATTGCAGAACAAGAAACAGGAATTACAGTGAAGACAGAGAGAGCTCCTATAAATATAATGAATGCTCGAAAGGTTCTCTGTTTGTATAGGATTGGAGTCCTTGTACGATTAGGAATTTTTTTTTATTTTTTTTTTATTTTTGGTTTTTTGTGTCACAGTATGATTAGGAGTTTTAACTTAGCCAGGAGTTCTATGTGTATTAAAGATGGAGAACGTTTGTGGAAACAAAATAAAGTCGGTGACTTTCCTTGGAAACAGATGTTCAAAACTTTTCCCACTCTTTCTTGCCCCAAAAGAAAACCCAACCCGACCCGGCCCAGATACATGTGGGTTGAGTTGAAAATTGGGCGTAAGCATCTTAGATTAATTCCAGCTGAGCATTTAAGAAGAATGAGAAAATGTAATGACAAAGGAAGCAGAAAACAATACGTGGTAAATTAAACACTTTGAACAGAACAGGCCAAAATAAAACCCCCCACAAAGAATCTCTTATAAGTAAATCTGTATAATTAATTCATCCACAATTTGATCTACATGTATAATCCTATTCATTCAAGGCCCTTATGAATATTTTCTCTTTCTCCTAATCCAAATCTGCCAGCAGCAGAGCAGTGAACCGTAGTTCCAGTTCTTTGCTCTTCCCGTTACGCATAATTACTCAAAAGAAATCAGAGAGCTTTGCCAGCAAATTTTATGAATCCAAGAAGCTTTTCTCATCCCGTTAGCTTTCCTCTGTCATGCATTCTAGAAATATAATAGAAAAGTTAAACAATCAGTCCATAAAAGTTTCCCAACAAATGGTAGCAAACTATAACAATAGATATTCGAACACAATCAAGGCTCGGTTTCTAAGGACTCCATAATCTATTGCTGATCATGAATGGCAACCAGCATACTTCATGTCCCCCTGCCTAATTATCTCATGTTGACTGAGACAAATATATGTGAGATCTACATGCATCTCTCACAACTATTTAGAAAGTAGATAAGACATGCTTAAATCTTTTACATCTTCCACTATGAAAGTGGAAAGAAATCTTAATGAATCTTAGGGATAATAACGACAAGTTGGTGATAAAGTAACAAATCCTGCACAGCTACACCCTTTATAGTGGATCATCAACATACATGAATGCAAGCAAAAATTGATGAATACTTTCCAACTTACTAGTCTTCAGTCAAAAACCTGTAGAGAAGAGCTACGCAAAGTCCATTGCTTTGTGTGTGGTTAAAGTTCACCTCTTGACATTAGTACATGAGGGGGTGTTTATCCTGAAATGGGATACCAAAATCTAATTAGCACATCCATGCAGATTTCTCTAGTACAAAATCAACAAAAAAAGAATACATATGAAACACCAACCAATGCTTTAAGTACATGGAAATTGTAGCTGATTATTACCATCCATGTTGGGTCCTTCAACATCTCCTCCGACCCTGATAGTTTGTCCAAATTTAGGCTTATCATCACCGGTCGCTGGAACCTCTTCCGCAGACACATTCTGGTCCACTGGATCACAGATGCAATATTTAGTAACAAATACATGGACAAAAGTAAGGTTTACTGTTCCTAACATGAGCTGGGCTACTGAAAGTGAATGAGCATGTAATATAGTTTCAGGCGAAAACAAATAGCAAACTTACATGCACATTTTTCTTTAGTACCTTTCGGGCAGTTGACAGAAGTCTCATGAGCAGCAATATTTAATGTCCGTGCAAGACGTTTAACACGATTCAATCGTAGTCCATTTGGCAGCCTACCAGAATCAAAATCTCCAATTCGGAAGCCTATTTTATAAGAAAAGAAAGAGAGATGATATACGAACAAGTTCCTGCTTAACTAGAATCATCATATTAGCAGGGACATTGTGGAACTTACAAGAAGTATTATTAGCATCACCCTTTGTAATCACGTCTGCTACAATTTGGTGGTTACCAATAGCTTCACCCCCTAAATGATTCAAGGATCGTGCAAGCCGCCTTATATGACTCAAACGCAACCGTATGGTGAAATTAGCCGATTTACAAGCTGCAGCTTCCAAGCCTGTAAAAATATCATGTAAAAAAGAAATCATTTTGATTTTTGAACAAGTGAACAATTATAGAACACTTACACTCAGAGTAATGCAGACGTTCGGTGCTTAGCTTTTCAGTCTGAGTAACTTCTTGGGCATCATTCCCTTCATTCCCTTCTGCTGCTGCTGCTTCTTCATGTTCATTGCTTATGTGCTGAGATTGGCAATCAACTTTAGCATTCTCAGCTCTCAGTCGTCTAAGTTGATAGTTCCTACGACGCCGAGCCAGATGTCGTTCTCTCTGTTCAACGGTCATAGACTGCCTTCTTTGCCTGTCCCTTATACGGCGTCGTTCCCGCTCTTGCTCCCTTTGCATTCTGCGCAACTCTGATCTATCTAACGACTCCTTCATTGTTCTTCAAATCCGTTGGTCAACATCCAACGGACTCCCAATTCATCCACCAGAGTTTGCTCTCGTTCTGAATCAATACGACAAGCACTTCTCATATTAAATTTTCCCCTTCAAATTTGATTATCTTTTTCTCTTAGATTAATCATTTTTAAAAAAATATAATACTGAAAAACGAAAGAAACACGTAAAATCAAACACGACTTAACAAATTCAAAATTCAAAAAAAACTAAAAGCCATATTGTGAGTCTATTATATCATTGAAAAATAAATTATAAACCTAAAATTTACAAGAAATCAGAAGTTTACCTCTACTGAAATTGATATCCGTAGGTCTTACCCCAAAAAAAAAAAAAAAAAAAAAAGAGGATATCTGTAAGAGAAAAGCATTGAGATTGAATGAATACAACATACCTCGACTTTCCTGATCAGAATTCAGAAAGCTGCAATTCATGCATTTGATCATGGAATTTCGAATCGCAGCGGCGTGTAACTTTTTGTTTATTTTCTTTTCGTTTTTCACGGGTTAATAACCGTATTTTCCGGAGAGTTACCAAGTAAGTGGTCGCTTTTACCGTGTAATATTCTGTATCAAAATGAACTAATTGTGATCCCACCCGTTTCATTTCAAATAGAAACGTGCCAAAACGGTTCGTTTGGTTGTTGTTTTCGATATTCTAAATTACTATAATGTACAAAGAGAAGGATCGATGCCAAGACAGCTCCGGTGTTTCGGACACCTTTAGGGCTACCTGTCCAAGGCCACCAGCTCCTCCAGTTAAATTGTGTGCGTTTGGTTGGAGAACTGGTTGCTTGACTGAAATTAGAAATTTGGGTTTTTGGGGGGGTGGGTGGGGTGGGGTGTTGTGGGAGGTGTCTGTTTTCAGATACTCCTCAAACTGCTGCCGTTCTTCAAATAGTAATTAGATAAATGCACTTTAGTTTGCTAAAAGCCACGATAATGCATCACGCAGAAGAAAGTAAATTTGCAGTAAAACTGAACTGAGAGCTATTCCCTTTCTTTGCAAGGCAAACATTTACACCAAATCTCGAGATTCAGGTTTGTGCCTATAACTAGGAACTCTTGCAAGAAAGCTAAAAAGTCTGGATTCTACAGAAACTACACAAATCAATCTCTCAAACTAAAACAAGATGAAAACATAAATTTTACAGTTTTGCAGTCACCACCATCCGCTTCACCTCCATGCAGAAGACGTTACCAAAGCTCTTTGCTTCCAACAAAGGTAGAGAGCCCCATTTGCCTCTTGAAGTCTATAATTCCCATTAAATTCCTTCAACAGACTCCTGATGGCCTCCGTCACTTTAGGACTCAATGGGTATGGAGTAAACTCATCCATCGTTAGCCTTGACTTCCACTTCCCCAGAAGTTCATGTCGTTCCACCCTCTCAGCCCCCTCACAAGCAACCATGTTCACTATGTCTCTAGCCACACAGTGCATCTCTGCACTAATCCGCTGTTTGTCATCCCTTGGGCGAGCCACATCAATCGATTCAAACATGGCTGTATAATAATCTACCATCTCAACAAACCTCGAGAAGAATGGGGAAGTATTCGTGTTTGATTCTTGCTCCACCAGTGTCATAACTTTGGGTGATAAACTCTTAACCAGCCTTAGCAATCGATCTCTGTGATTCTGAGTGCTTACACTCTCATCTGGCATGTGGTGCAACACATATGGAAAATTAACAGCTATGGCTTCACCTGGTTGAATCCTAAGATTTTCTAATTCAACCTCACAACCAGACATGGCAGCATTATTAAACTCAAATGGCACATTCCATGAATTAGCAATCTGTGAAAGCCTCTGCCCTACGATATGAAGTCCCCCGCCACGAGCATGAGCTGATTGGGAATCATCAACACCAGTGATTCGGATATGTGGGGGGCCACCAGGCTGACGT